CTGAAAGGTTGATTAGATCCATATTTAGAAATACAGGGAAGACTGTTATCCTGGGATTTGGGACCCTGTATGAAATGTAAGCCCTGCTCTATGCTTTACGTTAAAAACTGAAAAGCCAAAAAAGAGTTGAGGATTTTTCCATTCAGGGTTAAACCTCGCAGTAATTCCGCCCCCCCAACCCACACCACTCCCCATCTGCAAAAATGCAGGCATCTGCCCTAAAACAGGATGTTTACTTCTTAGAAAGTTACCGAATTCCTGCTGTCGGTTTCCCACCTGAAATCACAAGAAGACAGATTCACAGCAAAAGAAAACAATAGGCATTTTGCACCCCCACCCCCCATTTTGACCCCACAATACAAAGCTTTAGCTCATCTCTGTACTGAGAAGCACAGTGAGCAGCTGTGATGTCACGATTAATAACGAGCAAGTCAAAGAAGCTGTTTTGTTTTCCTATTTTATCAAAACTGGTGGCACAGCCCCTCCGACTGAAAAAAGCAGTCAAGGGCACCTCTCAAAAATTCAATATAATATTTGGGCCATATCTCTGTTTCTTTCTTTTTTTTTTTTTTTAGGATTTGATTTATTTCAGAGAGAGAGCGAGAACAAGAGAGCATGAGTGGGGGCGGGGGGCAGAGGGAGAAGGAGACTCCCCTCTGAGCAGGGAGCTCTCAATGCAGGGCTCCATCCCAGGACTCCGGGATCAGAACCTGAGCCGAGGGCAGACCTTAACCGACTGAGCCATCCAGGTGCCCCAGTATCTCCATTTCTGACATTCATTCTCACTTTTGGAGAGATGAAAACTAAACAAGTTTTATCCCAGCGGTCATTAAACTTGAAAGGACGCCAGGGATCCTACATTCTGAGCACTCATTTTTCAGGTCAAGAAACTGAAAGTGAGAGAGAGGTGAAGTGACCAGGTCATATGGCTGGGAAGTGACAGTGACTGGTGAGGGACTCGAATCTGAGTTCTCCAGGCTCCTTACCCAGGGCCCTTCACCTTCTCTGAGGCCGGCTCCTGGGCGACCTCTGCATTGGATTCACCTCATTCTAAGATGGGATATGAATAAATAAATAAATCCCCAAATACGCATGGTCCTATTTTTATATACATCTAGATATTCATAAATAAAGAGCTTGCACTTGAGGACTGCAGTCCTCACCATGTAGCAGAGCTTCTTACCTGCGCACTATTGATATTTAGAGGCAGCGCATTCTTTGTTGGAGGGCGGTGTTTTGTGCACTGTAGACTGTTTCACAACGATCCTGGCCTCTACCTACCAGATATCAATAGCATCCCCCCACCAAGTTAAGACAAAAATTTCTCCAGATGTTGCCAAATATCCTCTGGGGACAAAACCAGCCCATTGAGAATGGCCATAGAGCCATATCTCCTACACATGCACCAGCCATCAGGAAGCCTTCAGTCATGGCTTCATGTCAGAGGCCAGAGCTCTGGGATGGTGGAGGAATTCTCCGTATGTTACAGATGGAATGAAGAAGGTGCTACCCTGATTTCCTCTCAGAAAGACAGAGCAGTGACCCTAACCAGCCACAGAAATGATTAGGAGAAGGGTAACTTCCAAAAGAGAGAGCAAAAAGATAATGGTGAAATGAGATGAAAAATAATAAAAGGAGAAATGGGGGGAGGGTGGGGAGGAAGCAGTACGAAAGAAGGAAAATGCAAGGAAGAAAGAGGTCAGCTGAGAGAAGGGATTTTAGCATTCCAGTATTTGTAGGACAGAGTGGCCCATTATAAGATAAAGTGGCGTATTTTCATCAGGCATAAATTTTTTAAAAGGCAAGTCAGTCTGAGGAAAAGGGTCAAGCACTTTCTACCAATTCATTGTGAGGCTTTAGGAAAGGACCATTGTCCCCAGATGATGGACCCCCTCAGGGGAGTTCTATGTGAAGCTCTTTGTTAAGGACTCATATGCTTAAAACTGGAAAGCCCTTTAAAACAGCTTATCCTGGAGTTTCACCCACATTACACTGTTCCCGGTGTACAATGAAGTTGAATAAAGTTTTATAATAGGGCTTTAAAATAATGAGCATGATTCTTCACATCCAGGGTACAAACTAATTTTCTTTAACGTGCAACTTCCCAGAAACCTACTTAATCTCAAAACACCCCCTGGGAAATAGAAAAGCTCTGGATATTTTTCAGACTGTTACTCTCCTGGAGTGTTCAGGTGGCTAGTTGAATGGTAGCTCCAAATCTGACTCAATTCCAAAATTTGTGGAGAACAACACACTTATTTCTGAATCTGGTCACAGGGGGAGGTTACATGTGACAAGCTGGCCACTCAGGTCTCCTTTTGTATATGCTTTAAAAGACTAATTCTAAAAAGTTCTTTTCAAAAAATTATTATTTCAGTAAGTTTTGGGGGATAAACACAATTAACAACAAAACCTCTCTAATCCTATGATTCTCAAACCCTTAAAGTGCATAAGAATCACTCACGGATCTTACTGAAATGCAGATTCTCCCTACTGAAATGCAGATTCTAATCTAGGTCTGTGGTGAGGCCTGATATTCTGCATTTCTAATAAGCTCCCTGGTGGTGCTGATGCTCCTGGTCTGTGTACCACAGTCTAAGTAGGAAGTCTGTAAGTCTGTTCCATCCCCCCACACAACCTATTTGATGATACTGTTTCCCTCCTACAAAAACTTTTCAGGGCTGACCGTCTACTGCTTACCAGGGAAGGTCCTTATTCTCTTGGGAAAATGAACCCCCTTCATGATAGCTTCGGCTCTACAGCTCCCCTCGACCTGATACATATGCCATTATGAAGCGGCCATACCCATTCCGTGTTGTTCCCAAAATATATTTCCCCAATATGGTCCCACCGTTCCCCCTGCTTGGGTGGCTCTACCACCAAAATCTTCACCCTCCTTCAGGACCTACCTGAAATGTCAACTGTCAGATGTCCAAGAAGCCCCCCCAAGCCCTCTAAGAATAAAGGTATTTGTTCGCTCACCACACGCCTTGCATTTGACATTCAAATATCTACATTGGTGTGTCTGGTTTTCTGGAAGGTTATGGTCCATCCAATAAAATAATAAAACTGCCTCACTCAGGACTTAAAAAGATACTCAATTTTCTAACCTTCATATCCCTGGCTTCTGAAGAAAGGATTCCATTAGTCAATCCTCTGGGGAGTTAAAATATTCCACAGGATTAACTGCCTGGACTTTTGGCCCCAAGATGAATATTTAGTAAGAGAACTTTCAAGCACCCTGGCATATATCCCATCGACTCAAGAACATCACTCCTAGAGCGGCCTGCACCCACTATATCATGGATTATTCTTCAGTGTCTCCTAGATTATTCTCATCAGATTAAACCATCACCCAGGTTTAACAAACACATACAAAATGAAAAAACCCTCCTTTGCCCCAGATCATCCTCTAGCCCATTTCTCTTCTCTTACAGCAAAACTCCTCCAAACTTCTATCTTCTCCTGACCCAGACCTCCGTCCACCAAAACTACATTTGTCAAGGGGACCAAAGACCACCATGTTGCAAAAGCAGTAGTCTCTTCCCAGGCTCCTCTCACTTGATGTATGAGCAGTGTTAGACATGGTTGGTCACGTCCCCCCAAAACTCCTTCACTTGACTACTGAACACAACTTCTTCTTTCTTCTCGTTCCCCGCTAGCTCCTCTGTTCCAACCTCCTCTTGCTGGACCCTCTCCTTTCCTGATCTGAACACTGGAAGGAACCAAGGCTCAGTCTTTGGACCTTCCTCTTCTCTACAGCCTTGTTCCCACGGGGGGCACACCCAGCCCCATAGCTTTAAATACCATGTCTAAACTAAGGATGCCCAGATTTATGCCTCCCAGCCAGACCGCTCCCTGAACTCTAGACTCAGCCAATTGTCTCAAAGTGAGTATGCCTACGGTGAAATTATTGACACATGCTCCCTACCATACCTGCTCCTCCTCACCAGTCTTTCTTATCTCACAAAACCAAGGTTCTGTTCTATCAGTTGCTCACACCACAACCCTTGGAGGTGCCCGTGCCTCCTCTTTTTCTGTCATATGCCCCAACCACTTCATCAGTACAACCTGCCAGCAATACCTTCAAGATCTCCGCAGCTCTTCCTACTACAAGTTACTCCTACTTTTACTACTATCACTACCACCAAAACCAACACCACCACCATCACCATTATTACCATCATCTCCTCCTCCTCCTCCTCCTCCAGTTCATGCTCCCAGAATCCCTTGCCTGGGTCTTTGTAAGGGTCCTGACCAGGCTCTTGCTGCCACTCTTGCCCCCCATCCCACTGCCAGAGTCTATTTTCCACGTAGAGCTAGAGCAAGCCTTTTGAAATATAAATCAGGCTATAGCACTGCTCTCCTCAAAATCTTCTAAATGCTTCTTATCTTCCTTAGAATAAAATTTAACACCCTGCCCAAGGCCTTCAAGTCCTCATGTGATCTGGGACCTATATGACCTTACAGATCTCATCCTCTAGCACTTGTCACTTCATGTGCTCTGCTCCAGCCTCATTCATTCATCTGCCTCACAGCTTTGTCCACATTTTTCCTGCTTGTATATTCACCAAGCCCGGCCTGTACCCCATTCAGCACTCTGCTGCAATGTCACCAGATCAGAAAGCCCGTTCCTGGCACCCTATGTGAATCAAACTCTCCATCAGGATCTAGCCCCCTTGCCCTACTTCATTCTTCCTTTGTGTGGATTCTTTGTCTCTCTGCTAAAATCCAAACTTCTTAAGAGCTGAGACTTATTTATTTTGTTCATAGTTGTTTCCCTTAGCACAGGGCCTGGCACATGGTAGGTGCCTGATACATTTTTACTGGATGAATAAATGACTATCACTGGACAGTCAAAAACTAATTCTATGATTTTACGCATTATGGGGGAAAATGACAACATAAAAAGGAATTTTTAAAAACTCTACTAAATTACATTCCTTTAGGATAATAAGTCTTGGCTGAGAGATTATAATGCATAGGAAAGGCACACTTACTTCCTGATCACCGTCTTAGACTCTGATGAACTTGGGCTTCCATCTTCTTCACAGTTTGGGCTTGTCAGGTTTCCATACCTTTACAAATAAAAACAAACCAAAAAAAAAACAAAAAAAAAAACAAAACAACAACCCCAGTCAGTGGTGTGGGAAAGCAACTCTATTCCATTTCAAACATGAGATAACAGTTTCTACTTCTCAGCAGTAATTAAGGAAAGAAATATTTATGAAATAGCATCAAAAAGTGATATTGTGTGATATTAACTTAATGGGTATATGGATAGCCTTAAACAAAAAAAGGGATTTCACAATGAATCACACTACTTAAAACTTTCTCTTAAGAGTTAGCATTTCTTTGGAATCCTTTAGATGAAATTAGGCTTTTCCTCTTAGCAGGAGGATGGGGTATTACATGATGCAAAGATGGCAGATCCCTCACGGACTGGAGCGCCCAAAGCTATACCACTGCCCCTCTGCTCTGTCTCCTGAAGGAAGCACGACCGTGTGTGGGTAGCTTTCACACTTGCACCAACGTAAGCGCACAAGGACAGCTCCATGCTCTGTGACGAGGCTGGTCTCCGTGGGGATAAGTCCATTAGGAGAAGGGTTATGGAAGCCATTTTGGACCCTCAAGGAATGACTGAGACAAGGACTGACGAACAGGATTTGTATGCTACGAGGAGAGAGGCTGTGGGGACATGGAGGCCGACAACTGGGCAAGGGGACACAGGGGGACGACTTTTTAGAAAGCGATAGGTGCTTAAATTTTTAAATGTGTCTCATTGTAAACTCAAAATTTACTAAACAATCAGTCCCTAATTGCAGTTAGCTGTTTTTCCAACTCCATATGTAAGCAAGCTTATTGCATACAAATATATCACATTTTGTTTGGTCCCAACAGTACACTTTAAATTCTTGAGGAGACGTCTTTTTCTTAACTTACAATGAATGCCCTAACGATTTCTGCAGTTTCTTTTCCCCTCAGTGAAGAATCCAGAGATTCCTTGGCGTTTCACAAGCTGGTACTCTGTCCCAAAGTGTTGATAATAGAAATTCTATCATTGGTGGGTTTACATTTTTAAAGAGAACACTTTTGTCTTCTACTAATGGGATTAAAGGCCCCAGTACCCTTATGTTCCTTGTTCCTAGGATTTACAAATCCTTTTAGAAATAAAAGCCCACCATCTGGTTTGACTGAATGCCAGCCCATCTGGTCTCCCTATCACCCTGTCCCCGTAGTTTCCAGTCTGCACCCTGCGGCATTAGCCCCCCTCCCCTCCACCTGCTCCTCTCTCGAGCTCGTCAGCCTTATGGACTTCTTGGCCTCTCAAACCTATTTTCCACTGGCCTCCACCCTCCCTATTCCTCTCCATTCTGTCTGCACCTGTTATTTAGAGGGCTTCCAGGGCCACCCTTTGCTTTTCCTGAGATAAGAACTTAGTCAGATTAAGATTTATTCAGCCCCATGTGAGCAAGGCAGGGATGCAAAATGAGATTTCTCCTAAACAAACAAGAGTTTTTGGCTCTCTCCCTGGCCACCATCATAGTCAACCATGTCTCCCTCTTCTCTCACAACAGCCTTTGTGGTTTATGTAAGTAGGAAAGATTAGGGCAGGTGCAGTGGAGAGTGGGGCTCTGGGAGAGCCACGGTACCTTCCACCTATCTGACGAGACAGGGCCGTAAACTCTTCTCCTGCCAGCCCTCAGCAACTAAATGTGGGACCTAATCTTTGTTTTTGTCATATTCCGTGTTAGTTCATTAATTCTCTCTGGTTATCCAGGAAATACTGCACCTTTTATCGCCCAACTGGAAGCTAGGAGAGCTAGAAAGGGAAAGATATGCTCCTGATATTTTTCTTTTTTAGAGGTGTTTCTACTAAAAATCTCCTGGTCTTCTTCTTCCTTGTCTTCACTTTAGCTTCTCAGACTCTACTGCTCTTTCTCTACATTTTTCAGACTCCGGAGCTGAGCTGCTGGTTGGGATGACACGAGCACTTATCCCAGGTCCCCTCCGAGAATGGGATGCCACAGGAGGAGTCAGGTGCTGTCAAGACGGACTAAGCAACTTATACTGGTGAATGATGTTCACTCTCATTAATTAACCTGGTACCATCTGCTCAGAACATGTGCTCAGAAGACCCCATGCATACTTCTCTCAGCCGCCAGAGTTGTCTACAGGGTCCTAATCAGGACCAGAATGACTGGTTGACAATACTCTGGAGACCAGTGAGGACCATCAAGAAGAAGGCAAGGGATGTCTGGTAGCGTGCGCTACGCTCCAGGTGCTCAGGCTGGTCTCCACCCAACCCACCAAGAAATCCTTTTGGCTCTGCCTTTATGACATACCCTGAATCCAAACCCTTCTCATCACTTCTACCCTGGCTCAAACTACCACCACCTTTAGTCTAGATCAATGCAATAGCCACCTAACTAGTCTCCTGGCTTCAGCTCAGCGCAATCCTGGGCGATGTAAATCCCACCACGTCACCGCTGGGCGCAGAACCCTCCCGTGGCTCCCGTTCCACTCTGAAGAAAGGCCAAAGTCATACCTGCCTCATGAGGCCCTAAAGGACTTGCTCTGATACCTCTGACCAAGTCTCCCACGCCCACTCAGTCTCCCTCAGCCTCACTAGCCCCCCTTGCTGCTCCACCCACACCTGGGCATCCTCCTGGCTCAGAATCTCTGTGCTCCTCTCTCTGCCCCTGCGAGCAGCACCTCCCTTGGCTCCTGTGGGGCTCTGCTCAAACGGCACTTTCTCAGCGAGGCCTCCCTTGTCCACCCTATGTAAGACCAACACTCACGACACTTTTATTTTCCTCCACAGCCTTTAGCACCTTCTCATATACGGTCTTATTTAGTTACTGTGTTCATTGTCCATTGGAACATAAACTCCATGAGAACAAGATTCCTGTCTCTTTTGCACACCCAGTAGGCATGCTGATGGCTACTTGTCTGGGGGCAAATGAATGGCCTGGTGGGGTTCCCTAAGCAGACATGAAAAGACACTTCTCAACTACGAGGCTCGGATCTGTTGTTGCAAGGGCACCATCTGGCTTTTTGCTTATACAAGTGTCTTAACCTGTCTGTGCCTTCATTCCTAAAGTCTAGGATCATAAAAAAGCTTTAGGATAGCTGTGATCCAAAAATCTAAAACCGAAATGCAAAAGAAATAAAGTTTTAAGATCTTAAAGCTGAGATCTTGGAGGTATAAGCAATATGGAATGGCAAAAACCCAAAATGTATATATGGTTTTACAAAGGAGACCTTCAGAAGCAAGATAAAATTAAAGAGCCTGTAACCCTCTGGAATTTCATGGGGAGGGGATGATTATTTACCCCTGCACTTTTCTAATCATTAGAGAGAATTAATGCCTTACAGAAAAGAAACTAGACCAGCACTGGAATTAAGAACTCTTTAATGTTCAAGCTAGGTCAGTTGAGAGCTAGTTTTACTAGATTAAGAGCATTTCTTTGATGTTTCCTGGACCCTCTCATAGCTTCCCATCAAAAACCAAAGTCAAGTTCAATTCATTTACTCCAGGCGAGTAAATAAAACGGGGGGTGTGTTTAATTAATGGCTGTAAAATAGCTACAGACGAACCTGTCAACAATGTCACCCCCTATTTCTGCAAAGTCTCCCCAGGATTTAAGATCAAAGCATCAATCTCTTAAGAAGGCTTGCCAATGAGAAACTGGCCTTCTTTAAATGGTAACTCATAAAACTTAAATTAAAATACAAATTGTCAGAATGACTTTGGACATGGTTTCCCATGTATCACAAGGCAAAGGAAAGATTTACAGATGCCCCTCAAAGTACAGTCTTAAGCAATTATTTGCTGTGGCCTAAAAATTACTAGAAAAAGAAAAACAAAACCATGTTTAAATGGTTGCTGATATTTTAACAGGAAACAGTTATTTCCAGAGGGGACAGATATTATTGTTGGGAGCCTATCTGGGCAAATGAAATGTTTAATATGTGTTTGAAGGGAGAACAGGAGTATTTGCGGTTCAAAGAAATCCTAAGATAAAGCTGTCCTCAGGGACAGTCTTTCTGGTTCAGGGACACTTTCGAACTTTTGCTCCCTAACGGAAAAGGGAGTAATACCAGACCAGGATGGGGGTAATCCTGAGGAACTTTTCAGGCTCCGCTTGATTCCAGCAAGTGATCCAATAACAATAGCATATAATAATTACTGAGTGCAGACCACGTGCCAGGTCCTGCGCTAAGTACTTTATATGGATGGTTTCATTGAATTCTCACAATAATCCTATGTGATATTATTATTCATATTTTACAAATGAGAAAATGAGGCCCAGAGAGCTGAGGTAATTTGCCCTCGAAGACACAGCTAATACGTGGAGCAGAGATTGGAATCATGACAGTCAGACTCTAGAGCCCAGTCTCCGAGTCACTACCAGATCACATGAGCTTGAGTTATTTTATTAATTTTATGTCCTCCGATGCACTAGATTATAACTCCTTTGAGGTCAGAAACCTTATTCTTTGCATTCATTTACCCAATCCTTCATCCTTTTACGCATTTAGTCCCCATTCAAGGAATATTTGTTAAGGCCTATGCTCAGGTACTATTCCTGGCATTGGGGATACGGGCTGCGAACAAACCAAAGGCCCTGTTTTCAGGGAGCGGACACTGTAGTGGGGGGAGGCAGACAATAAAATAATAATTAGTTAATATATACCAAGCCAGAGAGTGAAAAGTGCAATGGAGAAAAATAAAGCAGGTAGGGATGATCAGACATGGCTCCCTCACACAAGGTATTCAGACAAGGCCCGAGGTGAACATGCCCATGATGTAACATCCTCCAGAAGGTGAGGGAGTGGGCTCTACAGATCTCTAAAGAGTCTTCCACGCCGAGGGGGGAGCCATGGCAGAGGTCGTAGCCCAGTGGCAGAATGGTGTGCTTGAGAAGCATCAAGAACGCCACGGAGTAAGTAAAGGGAAGGTAGGAGATGGGGTGCGGAGGTGACAGGGACCGTTCAGGAGGCTTGATAGGCCATGGTGAGGACTTTGGTTTCATTCTCTTATCTTGCTCACTGCTATATCCCCTGAGGCAGC